GGTTTCTCGATACACTCTTTACTTACATCTACTGACCTTTGATCATTGCGGACTAGTATTATCCACATCACAGAGTTCCAATTCAGTATCCAGCCCTACGGGTAGGTTACATTTATTTATGTGTGGTGATCCTCACAAGCAGGATCATTACATGCTGCATATCAAGGACAATGTGGCTTCCGCCTTTGGACAATTCCTTAGGGTCGTCATTATGAGAGTACTCTGCTCACTTTGATTGTGTTGGTCAGCGCTAACCTTGGCAGACTTTCTCGCCCAGTCCGACTCATTTGACCGCATTCACGATCAGACCCAGTTTTGCGTGCCCCACCTTTCTCGTCATCTTCCTTACCGATTCAGAACCTCCCCATGGTGACTTCTGCATCTCACCACTGTCTTGCTCACAATTCAAATGATCGAATGCACACTACATCTTCTGTTTCACGGCCTCCCAAATCTCCTAGCTGAGATATACAGAGAAATCACAATTGATAGCTGACAGACCAGACTTTCCGCTGCTCAAGACAAGACGGATACAGATGGAATCTATCTCGACGTGTCAGACTGATAACTCTCCCATCTCCACAGGCGACGCCTGCTTTTCATCACCTCTTTAGTCGATAAAGTAAGCCTAATCGCTTTACTCACTCCTTCCTTATCCTGCGTGCATCATACCATGTCCCTATCCCTCTCTCAAAACCGACACTCTCTTCATCACATCCAGCCTGCCTCTCTTTGTCACTTTTATCATCGAGAAGCCATCATCACCACCCAGTCCCGAGTGACACTTTGTTCCCTCTTCTCTTACGTCCTTCTCAAACAGCGTACTGACTGACCATTCCTCACATGACTCATGAAGAAGTCCAGCAGGGGAGAATATCTCCATAGTCTCACTCTTCTTTCTTATCACTTTTCACCCTTATGCTCTCCTCTACTATCTTCGGATCATCTAATCTCATCCTGGTACAGCGAATTACCGCATACTGAACCCTTCGTACTGTGCACACGAGATCTCCTGGTTTGCTCGTGATTCATGCCTTTTCATCCCGTACGTCCAGGTCTGTGATACGGATCCCATTGGTTTATGATACGATCTCATTAGTTGGTTTAGAACATGTTAGTTTGTCTATTGGAGTTAGTGTCATTAGGGGGAGTGTTGATTAGTAATGCCACGTAACTACGATACGGATTGGTCATACGATTTTATTCTGTAGTCTTCGATGCAACTCTTTACTATCATCGTAATCGTACTCGTCGTACACATTCAAATACTCTTTACATTGGAGACGTTTTTGGTACTGATTGTCATGACCACGTGCGTTGAAGTTGCTAGTTCGGGTAATATCTAGTCACCTCCATTACCCGCCACCGATAAACACTACCAGCCACCCTTATCTACATTACACTCTCATTTCATGTACATAAGGTAGTGCATAGCTTAGAACAACTTCGACGAATATATCTTGTCTGTCTCAACATACAAGTTCTCATATACATTTGCCAAACCTATTGTTCACTCCTCAAACCAATTGCTTTGATCCTCGTATCATCTCGCAACTAGTCCGAGTCCCTACAAGTAGCCTTATCACCCTCGACGCAGATCCTTCGACCTTCGGTCTGGTCTTGACACTGATGATTGCGTCTTACAGTGTTACCCGTGACGAGTAACGAGTAATGTACAGTATGCATGGAGGATCTCGTAAATTTGTTGTGTACACCTCAAAGTGCATACCTCCCTGTAAACCATGTCCTCAGCCTTCTCCCCAGCTGTATGTAATCTGACATATTTGACTGTAACAAAAATCTTTCAAAGATAAATCCAAGATGATAGGAATATACTGGTACCGGCGGCATCAAACCCGCCCTTTTTTAAAAAGCCGTCCGACCAGTTTTGACCTCACGCAACAAACCTTCTTGCGCGAGCCGATCTATCACATCGAGTAACATGAGGCTACACTCTTCAGCGGAATACACGTGGCAGTGAAGGTGTCACTCACTCTGTACCAGGGGGGGCTACTAGATTGATGGTCACTGGCTTCATTTCTTCTTTGCCGGATATGACACTCGTGAACCTTGCTTGACCGATAGGTAAGGTGATATCTGGACATCCCGCCGAGGACGCAATTGAACCGGGCGAGAGGAGGCTGCTCGTCAGCATTGATTGGAGTTATGAGTAGATGGACCACTTGCCCTTTGGCCTGTACGAAAGGGTATTCATACGGAGTGATGGCGTTGACTCCATCGTTCAACGTTGCTTCTCGGTAGTTAGGTAAACCACCAGTACCAATGTCATACACGAAGCTATTGTCAGCGAACCAAATGAAGGATATGTGCTACAGCTCACATTCCTCTAGATCCGCTTTCATCGTCTTTTCCCAGGATCCCCTCGCTGAACCATCGAGCGAACTCCCTCAATTGCTTGACGGCACCTTCGTAGTCTTCCAGCGTGAGAGTACGTCCCAATACCCAGGCATCGCGACTCTTGGGATCAAGAGGTGGATATCTCCCCCCGTTCAATTCTCCATACTTCTCTACGAATTGCTTTCCGACATGGTTCCACTGCCACCTGAGAACGATCAGTCACGTCCCAGTCTGTTCCTGACTTACCATCGAGACACCGTCAGATATGCCTTCCGCAGATCCCCGAACCCCTGCTGGTCGTAACCTACCTTCGCTGCTTCAGTAGCGAAGTCGAGAGGTACGCGCTCCATGCCTAGGACTGTCTCCATACGGGTCAAGAAGTCTTCGACTATCATGCGAGCCTCGGGGCTACCGTGAGGGAGATAATCGGTTGGATAATAGATTTTCTTTGGCAGGGATTTATAGGTCTGGAAGTTCAATGGAGAATTATGAAGCCTACGATTAGCAGTTCTATCACAAGGCGCAGAGACCTACCAAGCGCGCAAGTTTGACGTGAACTGTGTTGGTAGTCGAGAGAACAGTCCCGCAGTGTCCGAGTAGGAACTTAGAGCGGTCACCTTGTCTAGGCTGAGTGCGCCTGTAGACGGCTAGAAAATGTTCAGTTACCCTTCCAATGCATCTCGTAAGCACTCACTCGATTGCCGTAAAGCCCTAACAGAGCCGCTGGAAGTCTCACCGAACCTGATTGTCATGAGGGAGAGACAATCGTTTACACATTTACTCACCTCCAGTATCCGAGCCGACGGCGGCGTCCAACCACTCGTATGCACCCACTGCACAGGCTGACCCAGATGACGAAGCTCCGCCGGATTGATGTAGATCTGATCGGGGGGAGAATGGACTGTATTTGTTAGTCGATTCGCCTACATAAACGGCTCACTATTGCTCAATGACGGTGACATCATTCTGTAATGATCAGCCTTGAACACATCATACACCTTCCGACTAACCGTAGAGCCACCGGTTGCAAACCTGAGTTGTCAGTCTGATTATCTCGACGGCAGCTCTTTGACCTACATCGCAGTCTTGACTTTGCCAACGACAACAGCTCCCAGGTCCTCCAGCTTTCGGATGACTGGAGCGGTATCACGAGCGGTACCATATATCTTTCCAAAGGCTCGATTTCCTGCAGTTGTATGAACGCCCTCTAGATCGTAGATGTCTGATGTCAGCGAGTGTCTTTGGTTAGGGGACTCACCCTTCACGGCTACTCTCTGCCCGGCCATCTGTAGTGACGATTGGGCCGAAGCTTTGGTGTCAAGCCTGGATGGGACAGGGATGAGGAGGTCTCCGTTCTCATCCAATCGTCGTAATGTCTTGTAGCTCGTGCTATTGGTCACGGGATAAACGCCGACGACGAAGGTCCTGTACGCATCAGGATATAGGCGGAAGACAGGAAAGACATCTAAACTTCCCGAGTCGATTTGTCCCAAGTAAGGTCCTGAATGAAATTGCATAGGTATGAGGAGAGATCGCATCACGATACCAGGCGTTTGCGAGGCTGGAGGACTGATAAAATGATGAAGGTACAGGGTAGTCGTGTTGAATATTGTCGACAGCATTTCAGTAATTGAAGGATCAAGGGTGTAGGGTTTTGAACTGTCAGATGACGGGACGAGGAGGACGGTTTTCATGAATCCCACGCTGAAAACATCGTCAACCTCCAAATGACTTTCTATAAGTTGACGGAGTTGCGAGGCGTTGTCGGTTCCGGCAGTCGGGATACGAATGACGGACAAGGCAAACTTCTGATGGGGTGAGGGTGCGTTATCGATGTCGATGGTGATGATGGGTTGCTCAGTTGGTGAGAAGTATGAGACACCATCGACATGAAACTGATCTTCGTCAGCAGAGTCTACCAAAGACGAAAGATTTCTCACGAAACAATCAGTGTCTGCGACTAAAGCAGCCGGAGCTTCTCGGTCTATGGCGGTCGTTGACATTTTGAGAAATGGTAGCCAGGAGTAAACGATGTCCGATTTGACAGAGAGCTGACGTTGACGACGGGCAACGCAGGATAAGTGACCTCGACTATGTTCAAATCGTCCTCAAGGTGGACATATCGTTATCAAGCAGCCTCAACGGGTGGCCTGTCCGGAACCGAAGCCGAGGGCCGAGGGGCTTGCTCAACGCGATAAGATAAGGATACCCACGGCCTCGCGGGTGAACATCCGAGACATGGCTCTTACCTTTCGATGGACCATACTCGTACTTACATGTGGCGCAAAGATAAGTCGGGGTCGGAGTGAATCAACCAAAATGCGAGATGACAGTTGAATACATGGAAGATGCTGATGCAATCAAAAATCATCGGCCTTAGCGTCCTAGACTCTTGAGGTAGGTGGCCAATGACAGGGATCTGGGTACGCAACCTGAATGTCATGACGGCTATGACCTATCACCTTCGCAGATGGAGATGCAATCTACGGGAAACGAGCCCACGCCAGAAGTCGGAGAATAGTCACTTTTACTTCCACAGCCTATCAACCTCATCCAAACCTCTTTGTACCGACAGAACTGACACTCTTCGGTACTATCCTCCACTCGATCCCGACTACGCGCACACCATGAATCTCGTTTACACACACCATTCAGGGTCAATCATAGGGTATTGGTCTCCTTTGAGCAGGCACTCCCCAAAAACTCCTCTTTTGGCTATGATCGGCTGATTTTAGTTTCCTGATTGCCTGAATTTGCCCTTTTCCTGTCATACGTTTTGAGTACCTTCAACCACTACGTGGTTCAAAATTACACGTCACACATGCCACTCAATGCGAACATCATTTCAACTTGTATCTTGGCTCATTTCACCTATACGCCACACCTCTTAAATCAGTACTGTGTAATCATTTTACTCTGCAGTCTTCACCAATCGATTCTCCTGCTCTCTAGCTTTCTGTTGATACTAGAAACGTCATGTAAGAGTGTCTCTTGATCTCATACGACTTTCCTCCTTCTTAAAATTTTTGAACTTCAGTCAAAACCATATGCTGACATGTTTCTAGACGTCTCTCCACCTTTTCTCAAGATGTCTGAGCCTATCTTTCCCTTCCAGAATGAAGAAGACATCCCCTTCGACGATTATGATGAAGAACTCCCTTACTTGGATCTCCTGCAACTCATCAAAACGTCGAAACCGCTGAACGAGAAGGACGTCCTATCACTCTTCCTTCTCCACCGAACCAAGACATGTATCAACCCCCCCCTTCTTCCTCTCCTGCTCATACTGAGCCTTCCAGTCTTCTTGGGCTTCACCACCAAAGCTCACAGGCCTCCTCGGACCATGATTTCAACTCAGTAGATCCCCTCGAACTACTCAGCCACCCCTCACCCGAATTTATGAGCTGGTACTCAGAGAAAGACATGCTTCGCGACCTGTATGTCTTTCATGCAGACCACAACTGCGCTCTCGTTATCGCCCACTCAAAGTACACTAGCCCTGGTCGTCGTGTCATCGATTTTCGATGTGTTTGTAATGGAGAATACCGTCCCTATCGAGGAAAGGCTGAAAACAATGTCCCAAAGCTACCACTTCCTGACTCAGCTGCCATTTGGGCCCATCCACCACCTCAACCTTTGAGAAACCGTAAATCAATCAAGACAGGGTGTGGGTACCATGTGTGGGCGTGTGGTATAAAGATCTCAGAGGAAAAGGACACATGGGATTGGTCTGCAGAGGTTAGAAATGGTACTCATAACCACCCACCGATAAAAGACGTCTCCTTAGGATTACTTCGCCGTCTCTCTCCTGAAGCTCGCAAATTCGTTGAAGAAGAGTCAGCCAAAGGTCGTAAACAACGAACAATCTGTGCTGAAGTTGCCAAGAAGTTCGGTCTCACCATTATCCCCAAAGACATCAGCAACCTGTCTTTTCGTACTCGCCAAGAAGCTCGTTCAGGACACACTGCTGCAGAGGCGTGTATCAAGAAGCTCGAGGATACCAATAGTCTTTTTAAAGCCTTCAAGAACGAAGACGATCAGCTCTGTGGCCTCGCCTTTACCACCCCCGAAGCCAGAGCTCTGGCCCGTCGATTTCCTTATCTGTTTTACTTCGATGCGACCTATAAAACCAATGCGTATAAACTACCAATGCTTCATATGGTTGGATTTACAGCCACAGGAAAAACATTTACTGCAGGAGTTGTATTCATATTTCGTGAAACAACAGCTTGGTACAAGCTAGCTATCAAAGCTCTGGACGAATTGTTAGGAGGAATGGTGAAAAAGTTCAAGGTAGCAGTGGTAGATCAGCAAGCTGCTCTGCACAGAGGTCTCGAACACTCATATCCCGACATCAAACTCGTTTATTGCTTCTGACACATAAAGGAAAACCTCAAACGCGATATTGGAAAACATTTTCATCATCTAGAAGAGTGGAAGCCAAAGTTTCTTGAGTTTGTGAGGGCCTGGACAGTGTGGATTGTCCAGGCCAGGACGGTTGAAGCAATGGAGGATGGGATAACGATGTTAAAGGAAGAGTACTCTGAAAATTTTCGTCCTGCAGTGGATCACGTCATGACTTTATTGGACAATCACAAAGAGCATTTTTGTTATGCGTATACCGACGATTTTTGTCATTTTGGGGTTCGTACGACTTCTCCCATCGAAGGAAGACATAACCTGGCCAAGACATACCTAAACCGTCGATGGAGAGACATGTATTATGTGGTCGATGATCTTCAGCAGTATTTCAATGACCAATGGGCCACGAACACAATGGCCATGGAGTTGGAAATGACGAAAAAGGCTACTAAGACAGGTCCTCTCATGTCTTTGGTACGTCTGCTGTCATTCTCCTTCCCTGTCTTCTGTCTGAGTGTTGCTAATGTGCAGGTGAATGGTATTATCTCTGACAGAGCTCTGAAAATGGTTTCACATCAAAAAAATCTTGCAGATCAAGCTATCAAAAGTGGCCGAAGTGAAAATCCTCCTCCCCGTGTCCCCTGCTTAGGTACCACCACTTCGGCTCTTGGGATCCCTTGTTCTCATCGAATTCTGTCTCTTCTTCGTCAGGATCGACCTCTTAAACCAGAAGACTTTCATGACCAGTGGAAACTGACCTCAATGAGTCATATGGAGAGCTTGAAATCTGCGATTGATGAACAGTTCAGCAATAATCGTGAAAATCCTTCGGTTGTTCAGCTTGAAGTGGATGTTGAAGATTTCTCTGAAGAACCAAGGCTCAGGAACCCACCATTGAAGGCTACGAAAGGTCAGGAGAAGGCTAAACATGCAGGTAAACTTCCTTCAGGTTGTCCCGAGGTACATAAGACCGGTAGAATTGCTTCTGCAGGTGAACGGGTCTGGGGTGTTGAGAAACCTCTCCCGAAGTGCTCTACTTGTCTCAAACCAGGCCACAAGTCGAATAAGTGTCCCGAAACGGCCGCACAGAGAGAAATCCTTATGGAAAAGACAAAAAGAATCCAGTCCGAGGCGAAAGATCTAGAAAGGGTGAGTTTTTTCTTTTTTTTGTCTTCGTGAGGCCGCTAATGCATGTGTCCAGGCCGCTAAAGTACGTAGGATGGAAGGGGAGGCCTCTGTGACCATGTCCCAGCCTTGATCGTAGAATTTTGATAGGTAAAATGTGATGAAATAAATTATTTTGTGAATCTATGACTTGAAATGATAGAGAAGAGTTGGTAAAGTTGAGACATGACCAATGTGGAGGTGGAGGTAAAAGCGGAATCAATTGTATCACTCGAGGTCGGCAGGGCTCAACCTGTGTGACATGGCCTGGGCACTCAGGAAATTGGGCTGATTTAGGCTGGAGTTCCAGGGGAGTGGCTTCACAAACCCTGTGATCGACCCTGAATGGTGTGTGTAAACGAGATTCATGGTGTGCGCGTAGTCGGGATCCCTCCACTCGACCTTCCATGGCCCAACTGTCCAAATCACGAGGGAGGACGGTCATCAGGGAATCTGTCCGAAAAGAAGTAACACTTACGTACACAGCCGCTCGCCTGTTCATTTTATGAAACGTAAGTAAGTACTTGATTTACTGTCACTACTAAGTACTCGAGTACTATACTCTGCTTCGTTAACTTTGGACATGCTTTTCCAATCCAATCTCACCCCCGCGGAGCAGAGGAAAGTTGAGATAAGTAGATGATGAATGCCACGTCATACTGGATAGGGCCAGCACACTACGAGTAAGTACTTAGGGTACGAGTAACTTATATAACTTACTGGTACAGTACATGCTTTGATTTCTGACCAAAAAATGATGAACGTAACCGAGCAAGAACAGACACGGATCATAGTAAAGGTACTTAGACGTCAGAGGCTGAGGTTTGTTTCGACTTGATACCGCTATGTAGGCCTACTTGTATATGTGTCTCCGTCCTTTGGCTATCAACATTATTACTGCCTGACTTCTCTCCCTTCCTGCTGAATCCTAGAGTATCATCGACATCTTCGGCGAAGTAGTAGTGTGAGAGATTATTATTAGTTCAAGGATAATGTAAGTATCTCGCTCTCTCTCCACCCTCCACCCTCCGACCCCTCCCCCCTCCTTTCCCCTTCCTTCATGTATGTTGCCATGAATGCCATGTGTTCTTTCCTCCCATGATCGACCATGAATCTCTCAAGTCTAAAATCATTAATATCAGGTCGGACCCTATCATCAAGACAAACTTCCCACTCCCCATTCCAGATTTGATCCAACTTGACAATCCCTGCTATTCCTCCTCCGACCTTTCATCCGATGCAGTCCAAACTTCATGGGAACCGATCGATACAATCATCACCAAGAGTCCTCTTGACGAAAATATCTTGAGTAAAGTCCATAACACAGTCCAAATCGATATCCATTCTCAACCTTCTTCACAAGCTATATCGGTCAATCATCTACTTTCAGGTGTCACCGTCCGAACCGAAGTGACACACGTACAAATCGGTAAATACTATGAAGAAAATGCTACGTTGATTTGTCTTCGAATTCAACATCTTAATTCTGATCAAGATCATCCTATCAAATCTACCATAGTAGAGTTGAACCTACTTCCTTCTCAACTCGAACCTGACCCCAGTGTCACATCTCAACCATGCAACCCTATCATCGTAGCTTTCTCTCCACAAAGGATATATGGGGCTCCTTCCTCTGAAAAGTTGACATCTACCAATTCTTTAGGTGCTACAATTGGAACTCCACCTGTCGTTCCTGTCGATTTGAGTGTCAACGCGAATCATTCTTCTTCGAAAGAATACGAAAAAAATCTTCGATTAACCGTCAAAGTCGATATAGATTGTTCAAACCCTGACGACCCAGACGAAAAGAATAAACTCATCATGAACGCATCTGCTAATCCTATTCAATCGGACGGACTGGACGTGCTCAATTTAGGTTTGGTGGTACTCAATGGGGAAAGACCATTCGTGATGACATGTAACGTCAAGAGTAAACCTTTCAAACAATTGCAATTTCGCGCTATACCTTATTCCCGTGAACGACCGGCAAAGTTCAACAATGGAGTGGAGAAGATTGCCAAGGGTGTAAAGAGGGTGGAAGGGGATTTCGCTATGATGCAAGCCACGGATTGGGAAAAATTGGTTCGTTACTCTTCGGAATATGAGAATGTAGGTGGGATCAGAGTGCTTTATGCTTGCTGACCCTCAGATCGTTATCGGTCATTGAGAGGACATTGTAGCCTCTTTGTCACAATTTAGACATGTTGTTTCTTAGGGCCTATCATCACGCACTATCACGTATCATCGCCATCTTGCATACATATATCTATTCACTTGTCTCGGTCTCCCTGACACCCCTACAGTGGCATTTTCCCCTCCTCTTGACCTTGTTGAAAATTCCATTTTTGTCCAATCTTCCTTGTGATCCACTCATTTCATCTGACGCGTCAGCGTTTCGTTCACCGATTAACACCGAACGGCTTACGAGGAATTGTTCCTGATGCTCGGGATATCTGCCACCGACAGGAGGGAAATCTTTCAAGATCTGTTCGATCTCTTCCATCTCTTCAGATGAGATCTTGATGTTTGCGGCGGAAATGTTGGATTTAACTCTTTCCACTTTACTTGACCCGGGAATCGGGATGACCTGAAAGTTTGTTGGGTCTTCTCTACTTTTCCTACTCAATCACAACCCCAACATTGCCCGGTTTTGTGCCAGCCTATGAACAACGCCCAGCCTATCGCTTCTTTATGATATCCAGCCACAATGACAATGTCTGAGAACGAGATGGTGTATCGATGGAGGGGATGTACGAAGATAATGTAAGAAATTCTCATGGTATGACAGTGTATGAAGGATACAGAAGGATTCAGAGGAGTGTCACTGACCGTAGGAAACTTGTTGATCACCCAAGCCAACGCAAACTCCGAAACAGAGTGTCCATGCCTCTTGGCGATTTCTTCGACTTTATTGACCAACTTGATGTTCTGATCAAACAATTCAGGTGCGAGACGAGGTTGGAAAGCAGCCAAAGGGTGATTCTTGACATCCTCGACGGTACGGAATTGTCCAGTGAGGAAACCTCTTCCCAATGGGGAATAAGCCAGAACAGGAACACCGACCTCTGCGGCGGCGGCAACTGCGTCGAGGATAGGCTGTTCGACAGACCAGAGAGAAACTTCAAGTTCGTTGAAAACGATCGGAGTAACTGAGAGTGCACGTTTGAAAGTAGAGGCGGTGGCTTCGCTCAAGGAAATGGAGGAGAAGAGACCTTCCTTTTGAAGGATGAGTAGGTTCTTCATGGCTTCTTCGATAGGTCTAACATGTCAGCGACAAGGGACGGGACGGGACGAGACGTGAAGCGGGAGGGTAGAAAGGTGTATAACGTTTCGAAGTAAGATGTTGACTCACATGTCCAAGGGAACTCGGGCGAATTCAAAGATGTCGATATTCTTCTTACCTAGGTGAGACTTGCAGGTCAAGAGATCTTCGCGAATCCAATTGATACTGACTTGTCAGTCTGACCACTAGTACATACAGCTTTCCACCGCTTTGTTTCACTTCTAACAAACGAGGAGAGTAAGAAGGGACAACGAGAGGCGAAAGAAATGCAACCCAGAACCACGACAGCAGGTAGGGCAAAAGGGAATAAGATATCAGGCAGATGTGATAGTCTAGAAGATGATTGAACGGGTGAGAAGGTAACAGTAGTACAAAAACAGGCTGAGACTCACTCGGAAGTAGGTTCAAAAGAAGCTGGATCGAAACCACCTTTAACGCTCAAAACCACCTTATCGACATATTCAGGATATTTGGCGAAAAACTTTCCAAGTAATTGAAGATTATGTTTTCTATCACTCGGAGGACCGTAGAACGATCCAGAGACTAGGAGATTGGATCCTGCGTCTACTCCGGCTCTGATCGAGTCAGCCTCTTTCATTCCTTACGATTGGACATTTCGTCCGTTCCTTCAATGTCAAACATTCCTCAACGAGGACGATCCAGAAGGGGATGACAAGTAGGCACACTCTTCGGGACCATGTACCTGCCCACTCGTACAAGGGGAAGGGACGTGGAAGATTGAAGCTGGACCTAGTGCGAGGGGAACCGGGTACAAAGCTAAAACCAAGTAGGTAGGAGAGGACAAAAACGATACTCACTTGATGGAATCCATCAAACCTTCCTCGGTAACACCAGGTGTCATACTCAACATCATCGTACCCAATCCCATCTTTCCTACTGTTCTCCCTATGACTGGTAAAGTGACGGTAGGGATCGACATTGTCTCTTATGTCTTGGGTGTTGTTTCTTTACTTGTGGTATCTAGTCTCCAATTAACACCCTATATTCAAGTTCCAACAGGGACGTTCTTCACTCACTATTTCCCTGTTTGCACTTCCAAGTGATGATCGAATGGTGATACAGAGCTTGTTAGGAGATTGAGAGGCTGATATGAAGGCGAGGAAGCAGCATGAACAACATTCTTTATACCCCGTCGCTCTCGGCGATGGAAGTCACCTCCACCTCGGCGTCATGTCGATCGGTGCCTTTCCGAGGACCATTGCCGTCGGGCTTGAGGTTGGGTGGTGGGATGCAACTCGATGATGGTCGAATGTCGATGCATGAAGCTCAAATACGCAGTATGTATAATATCGTTAACTTCTACTGTACATACCTATTCCACGTCTTGTCACCTTCTCTGCCACACTTGGCTATTCTACGAGATTCTCGGTGACCCCTCTGACTATCGTATCGATGTGATATTGATCGTGTCAAATCGAGTTCCGTCCGTTAAACCGACTCCACGGGGACGCATCGGCCTGGGTCATAGCTCTCGGTCTTTAGCCGAAGGGCTGGTTCAAGGATTCAAGAGATGTTGTATCGACGATCGTCTCTGTTCCGTCGCCGAAAGAGACGACCCCCACAATTCCGATCTTACGCTTCTCTGTTCTGCAGCTCCTAATCTCGTCCCCGCCTGCCTCGCCGGCGTCGGCTCAGAGTAAGTGCTCAAGCTGCCTTTTCTCCCCTCATATTGAGGAACAGATTGCCTCATGCGGTCATGCGGATAGATAGATTGCCAAGAAGGTAGGGATTGCGGCGCGGTTGAAGGAGTGACTGGATGCGAGGGCCCGGGAGTCGGATACACGTTCCAGCTGGTCTGGTTGCTACCTTCTGACGCCCGCCTATGCGAGTTTGAAAGTTCGCCGGTGTAGGTGTTGACCACGTACGGGCGCAGAGTACCGATGGTAGCCATTGACGACTGTTCCCTTGGTTGATGATGAGTTGGCGGGGGATATGACATGCGATAAGCCGAACGAGAGAAGGCTGATTGGGGATGCCAACTTTTACCCGCTGGGGATCGAGGGGTAAATGTTGAAGGTGGCCATTCTTTGGTTGGATCATTGGGTGATCGCTCCCCACTGCTCGCGGGTCGAGGAGTAGAGACAAGATTTGACGGACCAGGAGTGTCCTTCCGCCCAGACGAGAATGTTTCATGTCTCATACGATCTCCAGGTTGAGGATGAGGAAGCGCAGATGAAGATGAGGGATCAGAGGACAAATCTAATCAATCAGAAGGTCTCAGATCATCGGCGAAGTCTCACCTTCCATCTTTCCAGTGCCATTTGCAGCATGCGATGGGAGATTAGAAGCAGCCGAGAATTCCACGAAAGGTTTCATATGCTTATCCGGTTTCTTGCAGAGGGGTATCTATTCGATTAGCTTACCCGAACTGTACTCTGGCCCGAACATTGAGCTAAAAGACACACCCGTGAGTAAAGAACACACGAGTACAGGACATGTGAGACAAACTTATGTTACGCCATAAAATGCACGAGATTGACCAGCATCTCATCACTCACATGGGTGCACACAGTCCAATAATTTCCTCTGATGTTCTCCCCTTCCTCTCCGGGAACTTTGCAGAAATGATGCGTGGTGGTTAGTACATGTCGAATCGTCCTCTGACCATCAGCGATAACCCTATTGAGATGCGCTGGAAAGTACTGACCTCCCATTTGCTGTCAGCCTTGAAGTACGGCCAACGTTCGAGAAACACTTGTCGAATCTGCTATCAGTGCGATCCCTTTCGAGGACCATGACATACTTGTGATAATGTGAGTCTCTTCCTTGGACTTGACGCTATAGCCAAACGGAGCTTGAGATCAAACGTCAGGTTGGGTTGATGAGCTGATCGTTAGTCTTTATGGACTCTCCATAGATGATCTGAAATGACTCACCCTCTCCATTTTCGTCATATGCCATACACGCCTTCCAAGCTCCATCTTTCAAACCGAGACCTTTGGTTCCTTCCAAAGCTCTCCATGCACGCTCACACGAGCTCATCCACGTCCCCTTTCCCTCTGTTTTTGGTTCCTGCACCGTTGGCATGACTGGCACCGGTCCTTGCAGAAAGATCATCTGGCCAATAGGGTCAACCGGCCGTCGTCGCATGCGACAATCAAGTGCGGGAGTTCCAGCTGAGGTATCCCGCTTACGGGCACGGGTACGGGACTGAGTCTTAAGGACAGGAGTTGATCTCTCATTCTTGAGATAAGGAGATGGGCGTTTGAGTTGGACGGAACTCGAGACTCGGGCTCTCGCCATTGCGGCGGCGTTCCGTAAGGGGCGGCCCACTTGTCTGTCAGACGGCTGGGGGTATGTCGTGTTGAGATTATCGGTAGCGGAAGTAGAGGAGGGGTGTGAGTGATTGGATGGCGTTGGACTACTGAGTGCAGAGATTTCGTCCTCCCCTTCTTTGTCGAATGCACTCATACACTCGTCATCTGCCGGGGTAGATGGCGAAACGTCATCGTCAGAAAACTTGGACACTGGCCTCACACCGGAATCGAGATCGGGAGAGACGATGTGAGAGTTGCCGATGGTAAGGATCAATCTTGGGCGGGGAAGAGTGTCGGTAGTTTGAGGTTCCATACTGACTTGTGTTTGGCTTCAGCGTGCTAGCGTGGATGGTTGTGTGCAACTGGAAATGTCAGCGGTGCGGCATAGACCACCAATCGAGGAAGGAAAGACCATATGAACGGATTGTGTGTAGCCTCGCAGGGTTGAGGATTACAGCGCTACCTGATTGCCCAATGGCAGCATGGCAGCACCGGCAGCCGGCAGCGAGTAATGGATGATGGTGGTAGATGGAAGAGAAATACTGACCGATACGTTCGATTCCACCAGATCTACTGTCATATGCTGTCGCCAACAGATGGTCGACTTGACCAAAACAACACAAAGACGTGGGGAGAAAAAGCTGTTCGATGGTGATGGGGATATCGAGCTCGATTAGCTCGGGCGTTGAACAAGCAAGAAAGGGATCCAAAAGAGAAAACTCGTTAATACACGTTTTGAATTCAAATGTCCCTTGATGAAATTGATCGTCGGTCGTCGGATCCACTAATTTTAGTCGAGCCGATCATTCCACGTACACGTCCTATTGGCGTTTGGCGCTGGAGCCCTGAAGATGAGAAGGTAGGAATGGTGAGCGTGAGAAGGTGGTAAAGACCAAAAGATCGACATGAACTGTCTAGCGTCATCAGAGCACGGTCCATTAACCTAGTTTTAGATGGGTGGATCGTGTTCCTGTTGATTCATTGGTGATGGAATTTGCAGGTTGACTGGATTTCAATATGTACAGTAAACGACGACGCTTTTCCCATCGGCCGAGGATGAGACAGTGTCAGAGTTTATTAGATCGACCGGATGACTGGATCCACCTCACACGAGTGAGCGAACCTCGTACCCGAGTAGTACTCGTCTCAGTAGTCTAGCCACCGTAAGAGATGACTTCACCTCACTGACTGACAAATCTCTGCCTCCCGCCCCCCAATCCTCTGAATAGTAGTGCACCGTGGGAAAGAACCGGCCGGTCTCATCCGAACGTTACCTCCACCACCGGCAACATGAGCGCCTGAAAGTGGAAAGTGGAGGTCAACCTGACCCATCCTTCCTCCCCACAGACTATTTATCTTTCTCTTCCCTCCATCACTCTTCTCACATCATCTACTTTTACTTGCCGGCAAAGTAACAGACTCGTTCAGCATCATGTCCGAAAAGAAGATGCAATATGGTCCGTCATTCCCTCTCCATGACCAGCTTGTCACTCACTCTCAGTCAAACTAGGCAACAGCGGTCTCAAGGTGTCTAAGATTATCCTGTGAGTTGGTATGGGCTATTTGTCATACTAGCTGACGCTTCAGCGGATGCATGTGTATGTTTCTTGTCTACTTTGACGGTGGTCGTCATGCTGATCCTCTTTCTAGCTTACGGGACTCCCGAGTGAGTGCATATTCCAAGGAATGAACGAAGGCTGATAGTCAGATGGGCCGATTGGGTCCTTGCTGAGAAAGAAGGCATTGAACACATCAAATACGCCTACTCCCGTGGGGTCAACACTTTTGAGTGAGTCATCTGCGTTCTTGTTGACTCTTTGACACGATGGTGCTTCTTAAGGGGCATTACTGTACAATGCGGCCCGTACTGACCATCAGCACAGCTAATGTCTACTCCGGAGGAGAGAGCGAGGTTGTTCTCGGTAAAGCACTTAAGGAAATCGGAGTAAGTACTTTTGTCCTGTTATAGATATGTGCTGACGATTCAGTGCCCCCGTGAATCCATAGTGGTTCTCACCAAGGTGATTAGGAGGTTCCCACTCCTACCTCGTCTCGTTTCAGTCGCACTAAAACAGGACCCCCTTTGATCGTTCTTACAGGCTCGCCTTGGTCGTCCCGGGCTGATGACCAGGTGTTCAATCCCGTATTCAGAGGGAAACAGACGGACATGCCCAAGCAGTTGGACCAGAATGGTTTTGTCAACCAACATGGTTTGTCTCGCAAGGTGAGTTCGATTGTCCAGGAATGTCTCCTTCGTCCCTTCCTTGATCACTATTTGAGTGACCAGTCCAGCCCAGGGTATTCACCAAATCATCCTGTTATTATCATTTCATTGAAGATGGAATGGGCAGTCAACTGACAACTAGCACATCTTCGAATCTGTCAAGCTCAGTCTCGAACGTCTTCAGCTCGACTACGTCGACGTTTTGCAGTGTCATCGGTGAGTGGGCTGCCTCCTCTCTTGTCGCTATTCCCATACACTGTACACCCTGTTGCTTCCCTTGACGGCGATCGGTACTCTCCTTTCCCTCGTGTCAGTCTTGCAGCTGTCGATGATGAATTCCATTCCAGTCTCCGTTCCTATCTGAGACATTCCTCATCACTTGATCACAGCAGATAGCTCTTTTTGATAGCATGAAGTCAGGTGGGAGACTTTAGCTGATCACTTTCAGATTCGACCCGGAAACTCCTATCTCGGAGACCATGCAAGCTCTTCACGACATTGTTCAAGCTGGTTATGTGAGGTATATCGGGATGTCGAGGTGAGACAGGGTTTCTCTCTTATCTGACCTGGTCCGTCGAAGAGATTCGTTGCTGATAGGGCAGTTGCTGGGCCTACCAGTTCCAAGCTATGCAAAGTATGTCCAGCGTCCTCCCACTTGATCAGTATCTCCATCTTCTGAAATTTTACATCATGCCTTGATGTTCCAAGACTGACTCTTAGACTATGCAATCAACAAGAACCTCACTCCGTTCATTTCCATGCAGAACTTCCACAATGCTGCGTATAGGGAAGAAGAACGTGAAATGATGCCTACTCTCAAGGTGGGTGACTAACATGCCCCATCATGCTGCTTAATGTCCCATGCCTCTCTTCGTACTCTCATTCGTCACCCGACACACCTTGTGCAGCACTGATTCCCAGATGATGGGAGTAGGTTGTATCCCTTGGTCTCCTCTTCACAGGGGTTATCTAACTCGTCCATGGACTTCTCAAGCTACTGTCCGTGTGGAAAGTGACGTGTGAGTTATCTCCTAAAGGTCTCTTCATCACCCTCAGGTGATCACACCCAAACCACCTTCTCGATCCCTCATCAGACTAGCTTCCATCTTATTATACTCCAAGTACTGGTACCACTACCCTCTTCTCGTTCAAGGTATTGTTCCACAGAATCAATTCTTCCGAATAAAGTTGTGATCATCTCTCTTTGAATAAAGCTTAAGCACTTTCCTCTGAACAAAATTCGAACTGGTGTCATGTCAATCACATCACGTGTATAGACTAATACGTATAGAGGATACAAATCTCGTGGGTTGCACCAACCTGACGAACCGACCAAAGCGATCAACGAAAGGGTAGAAGAGGTCGCCAAGAAAAAAGGAGTCCCAATGGCTCAAGTAGCTCTAGCATGGAGTTTGGCATGTGATTTCGTAACTGCTCCCATTGTTGGTTCGACGAGTTTGGAGAGATTGGAGGAATTGATCGGTAAGTCATCTTCCCCCCTTTCCTACCTCCTGCCCCCTCTACTTGCCCCATACACCTGTCCCAGACTATCCCACGTACACGACCTAAGATTTGAAGAGACCATGAACATGTCATTCGAACGGACCATGTCTCTCAGTCTGGTGTACGCAGACTAAACATACGGTGGAGTAAGACTAGAATAAGACTGATTGAAACAGATGGAATTCACGTCACCCTTACACCTGAGGAAAAGAAATTCATCGATGAACCTTATGCTCCTCGTGCTATTGTAAGTCTTCAACCTTTCCAGACCTTCATTCTGGAATACCCCAATCTCCTCAAACTTTCCAAACATCTTTCTATATCCCAAACTCGACCCTTAACCCTCGTACTTGTACCTAACCTAGAAACCGGAACGACGCGGGACCAATATGGCTGGGGAATCGTTCCGGTTTCTGTGTTAGTTGTCAGTATCATCTTTATCGCCAGGAACTAGTGAGAGGAGCAACGATGTGTGATAGATTTGAGAAACGACCGAAATCGTAGAGTCGATCGATCAGATTGATACAATGATTCAGTACTGATCTCAGACTGGTCACACCTAGACAAGCGAGATCGATCTGTGTGGTAAGAATATGAGAGGAAGAATAGTGATCTCAGTGTTTAGAATAACAATGTTAAACTGTCTGTGCTGCCCGTCTCGGAATTAACGGTTGAACTCATCTTCGACCCTATTGCGTACTTACAGGTGGCTCAACAGGATCGCTCTCTGGGACGTCATGGGTGCGACCTTACAAGTATAACCACCATGATAGAGATCACTCTCGCTTCAAGCAGAAACAGACAATGATTGTGGTATAACAAAGCCAAGGCAACAAAAGCATGAAGATTGGAGACAAAAGCCGAAATTGGCCCAAGACGAGAAGGATAGGTACAATTACATCTGACGTATATCTTTCACTATATGTTTCTTGTTTTCCCGTGCTGAGTCTTGTACCGATGGAGGGATATGAGATTTTTAACAACCTAATAAAGTAGCGGTGTTTGAGCCCTTGTCATTAGCCATCGTACATGCAATCAACAGATTCGTCTCTCTCTCACGCAATTCACCCACACCAGAATCCAGACCAGCTGAGCAAATAGCGTCATGGTAATGTAATTTGACGTGATAGACACCGTGAGACAGGTCTCTGCGCAGGGAGAAGAAAGGGCCAGGAAACATGTACAAGAAACGACCGCAAGCAGTAAGGGGAGGAGAAAGGAGAAAGAATCAATATGTATAGATAGGTATAGCACAATGTAGATATGAGCATGAGGGAAGACAAATAACGACATAACACACGACTTAGGTGGGAATACTGAAAACTCACAGGGTAGTACCAAAAGGAAACAGCAATGATCAAATACAACATCATCAAAACCAAACCTTCCATCCAATTCGATCTTCCGTCCGCTAATGTTTGATTGACGATGAGGACGGTGAAGAAAAGAACGATAGACTCGTATGCTGGTCATTAGCTGTGAAGGTGCCATTGGGTGAGAGATAGCTTACGATCGAAAAGTAGTCTGTAGAGTCAGCGTTTCTTGTTTCTTTGACTGTGAGAATGATCGTGCGACACAATGAAAGGACACGGGATGTATTCATAGAAGGAATCCAAGACAGGCGGATACGTTACGGGATTTAAAAGGATGTTGTAGAGTCAAGTCAAGAAAGGCGGTGAAGTCGCAGTCAAGGAACAATGAGAAAAGGAGAATGGAAAAAGGATATAGAGGAGGAATGAGAGACTGTAGGGGAAGACAAACTCACGTCATGGGCTTTCCTATGGTCCAAGCTAAGAGTTGAATGACAGGAATGACGAATAGAGCTATTTGGATAGACGATCCGACCTGATCACGTTAGACACACGCTTAACCAACGTCGCTTGCTGGCGATGAGACAGGCCGAAGTCCGGACTAGAGAAAAGGCTTTGTGATGGTTCATGACCAACTTGAGGCAGGGTAACACTCACGGCAACAGAGATGGACAGATCGATCTTATCCTTCACTGAAACGGATACGGCGGTAAAGTGTTCCGCGGCATTACCGACCTGTAGATCAGCGGGAGACCTTGGACTCATCATCGAACTCGATTGGAAAGACTGCAGACAAATTCGACTTTTCCGTTCGCACAGGCTTAAGATGCTCCATTATTACAACAATCAGAAGTCATCACGTACATGCCTGTCAGGTGAAAGATGAGAGAGTGGAGGAAGAGGGAAAAGGCGCGGTAGGTCACCGAGGGGTGGGCCGGAAGTGAACGAAGTTTTGATGAAAGCTCGGATATGATCAAACATCGGGAAAAGTGACATGACTTGCGAACGCAGCATGAAGGTACGCAAGAAGGAGCCACTCACAATAGGCAACAAAATCAAACCGACCCATTCGGCAGATAAAGAAGGATGAGAAGTGACCAAACCGTTGATACTATCGACGAGGAATTCGGCTGTAACACCAACTAAGACGGCGTCGGCCACCATGACGATCTGTTTGTCAGTATCTCCATTTCTGACACTTCATCCAAGCAATCAGAGTGTCATATGGAGTGATCTGGGGGACTCAAGACACTCCGATTGTTCAAGTATTAAGATTGATAGCGGAAGATATGTAGCGGTATGTTGGGAGAACATGAGGATCTCCCTGAGCAGAGCGAAAAGAATGGCTCATAATAGGAGATGAAAGATCAAGGAAGTCGACCATGATGAAGAGGAAGAATCCACATAAATCAGCTGAGAACTCACTACAGTACTCCAGATATTCATCTGTGGAACTTCTTCCTCATCCTCTTCATGCGTGTCACCATTAACGACCCCATTTCCATTTTCCCCCACTACCCCTTCGTCCCCATTTGTCACTGTAGACTCTGTCGAGGTGGTCGTTGGCGCTATACCCGTTTCCTCGTCGACCTTCTTCTGCGATCTGAAGTGTCTGAATTTCTCTGGGATACGCATACGATCACTGACATTGGTGACTTCTGGTCCGTAATTGGTAGATGATGATACGACGTCGTCTTTGTATAGAGCCTGGTTGTGAGCTACCTTCCCCCAATCATCTCAACCTGTGAATTGTGTGGCTTGTCCGCCATATACTGGAATTGGTGTGATATGATTCAGGCCGGAGCAGAGATGCAAACAGACGTGACAGCTGCAGTTGCTGAAGATAAGGTACGGTGACCAAAGTGCAGTTATGGGCAGGAGGAGAGACTTCAGAAGGGTACAAGGATTGTAGGGTTAGCGTGAAGCACCCAAGGGCCATAGTGATCAGAGATGTAAGAAAAGAAAGTCCGCTCACGGCATGTGTAAACATTTGAAACAACAAATACCCAATATACAGAAGCAATAGCAATATCGCCACTCCATGACTCATAGACAACAAATCTGACCCTTCTTTCGCATCGGTCAAATTACCATTGCCGCTAGTCGTGTCGTTCACTGAGAAATGGAATGCGGAGGGGATGAGCACGGCGATGACGGCAATGAGAAGCAAGGAAGCGTTTAGCTGGGCAGCGGTGCCTTTGATGACTTGTTCGGAAAATCGAACTCCGCCCGCAAAGAAGCACCTGAAAGTTAGTGAGTGATTCCTGCAAAGACAGACTGAGGGAGATACGGAGAAATGGAAAGTTTGATCTCTCAATTTCTCAGGTGCTCACATTCCCAAGACCAACAGCAGATTGGATAAGATCGACCCAACCAAGGAAGACTGCACAACTGCCAACTCGCACTTTACCAAAGCCAAGATAGCCACGATCAGTTCGACCACGTTTCCCAAGGTCGCATTGAGCAAACCTCCCAATGTCTGACCGAGTCGGAGTGCTGCTTCTTCAGTGGCGAAACCGAGCAAACCGGCTGAAGGTTAGTTTGACACTCCGTGAAGTCGTCAATACAAGCTCAGGGGTTGTAGTACGTCAGGGGCAGGGGTAAAGGATGTGAGAAACGAGGGAGGGCGGGAGGTAAGCACCCACCAAGAGGGATGATGGCGATGAAAGATGTGACAAAGATAGCAGTGTCGGTAATTTTCTCGTTTCCCGCTGCATGTACAAAATGTAATGCCCAACCTGCCTGTCAGCGCTGTCGACGGATCAAGGGTTAGGGTGATGACGGGTGCGAATAGAGCAGACAAAGTATGTCACTTACTGATTGGGATGAACACCAAAAGAATGTTACTGTCTCGTCAATATATTGTTCTCAATAAGTGATGGATGGGCTCACAGCCAAGAAGAGAACACAGCTGCTTTAAAACTGGCGAAAAAAGTGGGAGCCCTCCCAATCTTTCTCTCGGGTGTCAACAGACCCGTGGTCATCCTTCTCAACACACCAGCATTCGGATCAGTGCTTTGTCTCCTTGTACTTCTCTGACTTTCGCTCGTCGGTCTCCTCGAACCTATATTGGCGGGAGTGTCGAGTGTGACCTGTCGATTGGCCCTTCTCCTCGCTCCTTCCGTTTGAGCATCCCCTCGCATGGGATCAGGACCAGGTGGGACGGGATGTACGTTGGGAGTTGTAGGTGGAGAAGTTGTCATTCTGTCTGCTTGTGAGGTAAAGGGAGGTGGGGGTTGGTCTAAAACTGCAGGGAAGGAAACACGGCGATCAGCTGGGTCCGCCATTGCTGTTGAGATTCTTTTCTTGAGAATGTGAGAAGAACGGGTAAGATATTGGGGGAAAGAAGTGTTATGACAAGAAGGAAGGAAGGAAGACTCACTGGACATTGTAGGGGGTTGGAGTGGGTTGGTTCAAACGCTGTTGCCTCGTTTCAATGACGGCTTGGCAAAAAAAGAGAGAAGTAAAAACACACGGACGCTCGTTGGGGAGTGAGAGGCGGAGGCGAGGGAAACGTGCAAAGGCGATGTTGATCCCAAAGGAGGGCGAAGGGTTGTCGTTCAGATCCAAGGGCAAGGGGGTAGCCAGTCGGAAGCGTCAGAAGTAGTGTAGGGTGTGTATGATATTTGGTGAGGAAGACAAGACGAACAGAGGTTGGTTGTATAATGACGAGATCGGAAGCGATGAGAACGTTGACAAAGGCTGTGCGTCAATGGGACGACAACCCCCCGGGGCGGAGTTTCTTCTCAAACGTCGTCGCCTTCAAGGTGATACTTGATGGGATATTCTATCACAGCGTGGTGCTATCACTGGTAGGGTATACTATTACTTTGCTGTATAGAGAGCGCTGTCTATGGGAGGCAAAGTGGAAGGAAATAGCGACTGCCAAGACAAATCCGCCAGCTGCGCCCCCCTCCCCTCCCCGCGTCATGACAGGATCCCGACTACGCGCACACCATGAATCTCGTTTACACACACCATTCAGGGTCAATCATAGGGTATTGGTCTCCTTTGAGCAGGCACTCCTCAAAAACTCCTCTTTTGGCTATGATCGGCTGATTTTAGTTTCCTGATTGCCTGAAATTGCCCTTTTCCTGTCATCCGTTTTGAGTACCTTCAACCACTACGTGGTTCAAAATTACACGTCACACATGCCACTCAACGCATACATCATCTCAACTTGTATCTTGGCTCATTTCACCTATACGCCAAACCTTTTAAAACAGCACTGTGTAATCATTTCACTCTGCTGTCTTCACCAATCAATTCTCCTGCTCTCTAGCTTTCTGTTGATACTAGAAACATCATGTAAGAGTGTCTCTTGATCTCATACGACTTTCCTCCTTCTTAAAATTTTTGAACTTCAATCAACGCCATATGCTGACATGTTTCTAGACGTCTCTCCACCTTTTTTCAAGATGTCTGAGCCTATCTTTCCCTTCCAGAATGAAGAAGACATCCCCTTCGATGATTACGATGAAGAACTCCCTTACTTGGATCTCCTACAACTCATCAATGACATCGAAACCGCTGAACGAGAAGGACGTCCTATTACTCTTCCTTCTCCACCGAACCAAGACATGTATCAACCCCCCCCCTTCTTCCTCTCCTGCTCATACTGAGCCTCCCAGTCTTCTTGGGCTCCACCACCAAAGCTCACAGGCCTCCTCGGACCATGATTTCAACGCAGTGGATCCCCTCGAACTGCTCAGCCACCCCTCACCCGAATTTATGAGCTGGTACTCAGAGAAAGACATGCTTCGCGACCTGTATGTCTTTCATGCAGACCACAACTGCGCTCTCGTTATCGCCCACTCAAAGTACACAAGCCCTACTCGTCGTGTCATCGATTTTCAATGTGTTTGTAACGGGGAATATCGTCCCTATCGAGGAAAGCCTGAAAACAATGTCCCAAAGCTACCACTTCCTGACTCAGCTGCCATTTGGGCCCATCCACCACTTCAACCTTTGAGAAAGTGTAAATCAATCAAGACAGGGTGTAGGTACCATGTGTGGGCGTGTGGTATAAAGATTTCGGAGGAAAAGGACACATGGGATTGGTCTGCAGAGGTTAGAAATGGTACTCATAACCACCCACCGATAAAAGACGTCTCCTTAAAGTTACTTCGCCGTCTCTCTCCTGAAGCTCGCAAATTCGTTGAAGACGAGTCAGCCAAAGGTTGTAAACAGCGAACAATCTGTGCTGAAGTTGCCAAGAAGTTCGGTCTCACCATCATCCCCAAAGACATCAGCAATCTGTCTTTTCGTACTCGCCAAGAAGCTCGTGCAGGACACACTGCTGCAGAGGCGTGTATCAAGAAGCTCGAAGGTACCAACAGTCTTTTTAAAGCCTTCAAGAATGAAGATGATCAGCTCTGTGGCCTTGCGTTTACCACCCCCGAAGCCAGAGCTCTGGCCTGTCGATTTCCTTATCTGTTTTACTTCGATGCGAGCTATAAAACCAATGCGTATAAACTACCAATGCTTCATATGGTTGGATTTACAGCCACAGGAAAAACATTTACTGCAGGAGTTGTATTCATATTTCGTGAAACAACAGCTTGGTACAAGCTAGCTATTAAAGCTCTGGACGAATTGTTAGGAGGAATGGTGAAAAAGTTCAAGGTAGCAGTGGTAGATCAGCAAGCTGCTCTGCACAGAGGTCTCGAACACTCATATCCCGACATCAAACTCGTTTATTGCTTCTGGCACATAAAGGAAAACCTCAAGCGCGATATTGGAAAACATTTTTGTCACGAACTACGTCGTGACACCTCGATTATTCCACCAACAACGACCCTCCTTTGACCATCAAAACCCCATCACGACTCAAACCTCTTTACTCTACACGTAACTCAGGACCTCTGAGACCAAGTACGGCGAAGTTAGATGAAGTTAGGGTAAATAGGGACAATGGGAGCAGAAGTGCGGCGAAGTTAGGCGGAGTTAGGCTAGGTAGGGACAATGGGAGCAGAAGTGCGGCGATATTAGGCGGAGTTAGTCGAAAGAGGAGGAGGATGGCCGGGGTTCGGGGAAGTTGGACGAAGTGCGTTGAAGTACGTCAAAGCGCGGGAGGGTTGGATGAACGTCTAGGAGGGATAGGTCATATTAGCTGAGAAGATCGCTGAAGTTCTTCAGCGATCCTTGATTGTTGTCAGTAGTGAAAGACAGATAGAGATAGCTATAAATCAAGATACATCGCCATCAGTAGAACAAAACCCTAGTTAGAGTAACTACGCCGAAGTACGCCGTAGTTACACCCCTTTCGACGTCTGCGCCCTCCTGGTTGGGTGAGACATCGACTCAGAGCGTGAAGTTAGCCGAGGTTCGTCGACCGTCGGTCTATTAAGAATTAGTTGTTCGACGGCCGTGACAATTTTCATCATCTGGAAGAGTGGAAGCCAGAGTTTCTTGAGTTTGTGAGGGCCTGGACAGTGTGGATCGTGCAGGCCAGGACGGTTGAAGCAATGGAGGACGGGATAACGATGTTCAAGGAAGAGTACTCTGAAAATTTTCGTCCTGCAGTGGATCACGTCATCACTTTATTGGACAATCACAAGGAGCATTTTTGTTATGCGTACACCGACGATTTTTGTCATTTTGGGGTTCATACGACTTCTCCCATCGAAGGAAGACATAACCTGGCCAAGACATACCTGAACCGTCGATGGAGAGACATGTATTATGTGGTGGATGATCTTCAGCAGTATTTTAATGATCAATGGGCCACGAACACAATGGCCATGGAGTTGGAAATGACGAAAAAGGCTACTAAGACAGGTCCTCTCATGTCTTTGGTACGTCTCCTGTCTCTCTCCTTCCTTGTCTTCTGTCCGGACATTAGCTGAGTGTTGCTAATGTGCAGGTGAATGGTATTATCTCTGACAGAGCTCTGAAAATGGTTTTACATCAAAAAAATCTTGCAGACCAAGCTATCAAAAGTGGCCGAAGTGAAAATCCTCCTCCCCGTGTCCCCTGCTTAGGTACCACCACTTCGTCTCTTGGGATCCCTTGTTCTCATCGAATTCTCTCTCTGCTTCGTCAGGATCGTCCTCTTAAACCGGAAGACTTTCACGACCAGTGGAAACTGACCTCAATGAGTCACATGGAGAGCTTGAAATCTGCAATTGACAAACAGTTCAGCAAAAATCGTGAAAATCCTTCGGTGGTTCAGCTTGAAGTGGAAGTTGAAGAGTTATCTGAAGAACCAAGGCTCAGGAACCCACCATTGAAGTCTACGAGGGCTCAGGAGAAGGCTAAACATGTAGGTAAACTTCCTTCAGGTTGTCCCGAGGTACATAAGACCGGTAGAATTGCTTCTGCAGGTGAACGGGCCTGGGGTGTCGAGAAACCTCTCCCAAAGTGCTCTACTTGTCTCAAGCCAGGCCACAAGTCGAATAAGTGTCCAGAAACGGCCGCACAGAGAGAAATCCTCATGGAAAAGACAAGAAGAATCCAGTCCGAGGCCAAGGATCTAGAAAGGGTGAGTTTTTTTTGTTTTTTGTCTTCGTGAGGCCGCTAATGCATGTCTCAAGGCCGCTAAAGTACGTAGGATGGAAGGGGAGACGTCTGTGACCATGTCCCAGCCATGATCGTAGAATTTTGATAGGTAAAATGTGATGAAATAAATTATTTTGTGATTCTATGACTTGACATGATAGAGAAGAGTTGGTAAAGTTGAAACATGACCAATGTGGCGGTGGAGGTAAAAGCGGAATCAATTGTATCACTCGAGGTCGTAGGGCCTCAACCTGTGTGACACGGCCTAGGCACTCAGGAAATTGGGCTGATTTAGGCTGGAGTTCCAGGGGAGTGGCTTCACAAACCCTATGATTGACCCTGAATGGTGTGTGTGTCACGGCCGTCGAACAACTAATTCTTAATAGACCGACGGTCGACGAACCTCGGCTAACTTCACGCTCTGAGTCGATGTCTCACCCAACCAGGAGGGCGCAGACGTCGAAAGGGGTGTAACTACGGCGTACTTCGGCGTAGTTACTCTAACTAGGGTTTTGTTCTACTGATGGCGATGTATCTTGATTTATAGCTATCTCTATCTGTCTTTCACTACTGACAACAATCAAGGATCGCTGAAGAACTTCAGCGATCTTCTCAGCTAATATGACCTATCCCTCCTAGACGTTCATCCAACCCTCCCGCGCTTTGACGTACTTCAACGCACTTCGTCCAACTTCCCCGAACCCCGGCCATCCTCCTCCTCTTTCGACTAACTCCGCCTAATATCGCCGCAGTTCTGCTCCCATTGTCCCTACCTAGCCTAACTCCG